TTAGGGCCTATGGCGCTCAGGTAGCTTACTGATTACAAGTTGGGCTGATAACCTCAAGATAGGCCAGAGTCACTGAGTCGGAACTGACTCTAAGGCACATAACCACCACCACACCACTAGGACCTAGGGATGTTGGGGGTAATTGGGAGAATTAAACAAGTGAATATTTTATATGTGTTTTTTTAAAGTTAAAAATAAAGAATTCCGTAGAAGTTTGAGTGGTAGATTGTTAGAGTTAAGGGTTAGAAAACAGCTTTCAAGTTGTATGCCAGCTCATTAATTAGTTGTGGCTACTTGCCTTCTGGAGTCCTGGTGTGGCGCTGTGTGGGTTAATGTGCCAGACTGCAAAGCCGTTTGAACTGCAAGGTCAGCGGTTCAAGCTCACCAGCTGCTCCTTGGAAACCTATACAGGGTTGCTATGAATTGGAACTGACTCGACAGCACTTCACAACAACTTGCCTTATGGACTTCTGGTGTGGTGCTGTAGGATCAGCACTGGACTGTGAACCACAAGGTGGGATGTTCAAACCCACCAGCTGCTCTGTGGAAACCCTATACAGAGTTACTATGAGTCCAAAACAACTTGATGGCATTTAATAACTACAACTCACCATTCTGCAGTCCTGGTGTGGCACTATAGGATAAGCACTGGACAGCTAGCCACAAAGTTGGTGGCTCAAACCCAACAGCTGCTCCTCAGAAACCCTATACAGCTGAGGTAGAGACTGTATGGGCCGTATGAAGCCAGCAAAATCATTTGGTCTGGTCTTGCCAAGACAACTGCAGTTCCAGACATCACATTAAAGGGTGAGTGTTTGATCAAATATGGTAGGCTGCTATGTGCTGTGGCATGGGTTCTGACTCACAGTGACCCTGTAGAAGGTTTCTGAGGCTGTAAATCCTTCTGTGAGCAGAAATTCTCATCTTTCTCCAGTGAGACTGCTGGTAGTTTCGAACTGCTGACCATGTGGGTACTCGTAACCACAATAGTACCAGAGCTCGTTTGATCAAATATAGCAGGCTAATTTTTAAGTTGATAATTTTATATGGCCTGCAAATGATATTTTACATTTTGGAAGAAAAAGGTTCCCCACCCCTGTTATATAGGGTTGCTGAGAGTTGGAACCTCCTCCATGACACTTAAAACAACAACTCACCATATCCTGTGTTGAGAACAATTCTGAGGCTGACTCAAGGTCCATAAGAAAGAGTATTGTATTTAATTAGCAATGTTCCAGAGCCAGGTGGAGTGGTTGTTTACTTGGTATAAAGCATGTGAAAAAGAAGGTAATAAGAAGAGGAAGCAGGGAGATCAAAGCCAAAGCCATTTCAAAAAGCATGAGTTAGATGAGAGAGTCTGAAGTGAGGTATCAGCAGCAAGAGCTTTCCCCCCAAGAAGAACGTGTACCTCCACAGAAGAGAGTACTGTGGGCATTGTCCACACAGCCAGAACAGCCTGGAGTTCAGGGTGGGGTGCACAGGGGAGACTCGTCAGTGTGATTCTCAGTTTCCAGCCTCCATTTCCCTAAAGACCTGAAGCTGATGTCACCAGGTAAGAGTGCGTTCCTAGTGGAGTCCACAACACCCAGTGTTGGGGTGAAAAGGGCCCTGACCAGGAAAGCTTTTCTGCTGGAAGCCTCCCTAATCCCAAAGTCCTTGAGCCAGAACCTAGGCCCCATCATCTAAAGCCCTGAGTTGAGTTGCAGGAGTTAGATACAGAAGGCAGCCTCTTGCCAGGTAGGCCAAATAGCAACGGCTTTGTCTGAGGACGAACACCTGAGTGCATGTAGAAGCGCCCACAGGAAAAGGAAGCCTTAAATGGTGTGTGTGTGTGCGTGCGTGCATGTGTGTGGATGTGCATGTCATTGCCCTACCTTCGTCTAAATGAAGACCATGGCCTTCAGTAATCCCATCTATTCCCTCCTGTATCTGCCAACCAGCAAAACACAGCCCCCATTTTGCTCAGGAATGTGCTTTCAGAAACTTAATCTAACTGCTGAGTCTGGGCCAAATCCCCCAATGGCATCAACCCAAACATAGTACCCCCTCCTCCGCCTCTCTCACCTCCACACCACACTACTGCTCCCTGCAGATTTGAAGGCTGCAGTTCCAACCCACTGACTCCCTCTTCTGGATGACACAGCCCCTCGAGCTTCCTCTCTCTCTCTTGCTTTCTGCAGAACTTCCATCCTTCCAGTCAGGCCTAAACATTTCACTTCTGATTCATGTCTAAATGACAAGCCAATAGTTCTTGGCTTTCCAACAAGACCAGCCCGGCTCCTGCACAAGCCCCTTCTCTCATTGTGCCTTCTTGGGCAGCAACCAAATCCTTGCCTTTGTCTTCACTGCCAACTGCAGATCCCCTCAAGCACTAGAGAAAGAGGCAGCCAGGGATTTTTTTTTTTCAATGAAGACTATAAATTGTCTCTCCTCACACAAATATACCTTGAAGCCGAAAAAGGGCTCCAAAATAAATCTCCAACTCTCCCTTCTTCCAAATAATAAAAGACTCAGCCTGGCTCCTAATTAGGCCAAATTAATGGTTAAGGAGTTTCTTGAAATGAATCTATACAGAGACACGTGCTGACCATTTGCAGATAAAACTTCCCCTTTCCCTTCCCTCCCCCACCAGATGAGGAGTATTACCTTTTAAAGGCACAAACTGTGCTCAGAGGCACATCTTATTTGTAATAAGAACAATTGGAGGCAACCTAACTGCCTAGCAATAAGATAAGGGTAATACATTATGGTACAGCCACCTGAAGGGATGTTCTAGGGCCATTAATAATTGCTATCTCGCTCTGGTGGGGAAGAGGAGGGTGACATTAAGTAGGAAGGGATATAAGAAAATCTGCCTGAATGATGGTCACATGTCCTGTATGAGTTGGAATCAACCCTAACCTAAACTTACTGCCGTCAAATCGATTCTGACTCCTGGTAACCATATAGGACAGTGTAGATCTGCCCCACAGGGTTTCCAAGGCTATCAGACTTCATGGCAACATCTTTCTCTTTTTGGAGCAACCGGTCTGCTGATCTTTTGGTTAACAGACAAGTATGTAACAACCACCATTACATTAGTATACAAGTACATGCCACTATTACATTAGTATACATTGTACACTTTGCTCTATACATTATACATTCAAAATATAAAAAGTAAATTATGATCATATCGCTAATGAGAAATGTTCACCCCCAGGTCAATGCATGAAATTAAGAATAGAAGCTGTACATTCAGTTGTTGTGAAGTGCTGTCAAGTCGGTTCCAACCCACAGTGACCCTGTATAGGATTTCCAAGGAGCAGCTGGTGAGCTTGAACCGCCGACCTTGCGGTTCAAATGGCTTGGCAGTCTGGCACATTCACCCACAGCGCCACACCAGGACTCCGTACATTTAGTAGTACCATTATAATAATGTAAACATATGAATCAACACTGGACAGCTTCAAAACAATGATGACAGCTGTGTGAGGGTGGTGGACTTAGGGTAGATAGTACTTTCCGTAAATTCCAAGCTTTCTATAATGTAATTAAAACTTTAAGTAGTCAAAACAAGAGGTATGATGGTAGGTCGTATAGCTCTAACCTCAGCCTTTGTTACTGTGATGATAGGATTCCTTTCAATTCTCCCTTCTCACCTTCCTCACTCCAGCCTCCTGGTATCCCCTTTATCCCTTCCTGACAAGTAAGCCTGGGAGGGTTCCCTCAGTGAGCACTCACAGCCTCTCCAGATCCCTAGCACTTAATGGGTTCTCCCACTGTATGGGTGGATGCTCCAAGACACAGTCCAAGGTCAGCAGTTCAAGGTCTTCTAGGGGCGAGAATGGGGATGGATCCTGCATTTCCCCCCAAGAAACTGAAAATGGGGTCTGCTGCATGTATATTCCTTTCTCCTCCTGAGTGAAGACCCTCAGGAGCTCTGTGGACCAAAGGGCAGAGGGAGCTTTTTCTCCTTTTCCATCTGTCAACACTCTTCTCTGCGGACTTATACCTCATACGTTCCAAGACCTCAACTAGCTGTGATACCTGAAGTTTGCTGCCTTAGGCATGGCCCATAAAGTGAGACCACCAAACATCTGAAAGCACACCACCCCACAGGATGGAGATGATGGTGAACGTGGAAGTCCCCAGTAGTGCTGTCAGGGACAGAGGCCTCTGTCACATAATCAGGGAACAAACTCTGGAATTCATCTCTAAATTTAAATTACAAAAGGAATCAAGTCCCAAAGAGTTTCCCTATTCCCCACAGCTGAGTTTCCAGGACAGAGGACTAATTGGAGACAATTCTTAATATTTCCTGATTCTAGGCTCAGCATATATGACTTTTTTTGTATCCTTCAGTAGTTTATTTAATCAAATCTCATTTTCCAGTGTGTAAAATGAACAGAGAATCAGATAATATGTGTATTGTGCCTGAGACATAGTACACTCAAGTGGTGATTAAATATAGTAGAACCATGGAGTCTTTGACCAAACAGTTGGCTCACAGTTTCCTTTTCAGCATGTTCTACTGTTTATATTTCAGGCATTTGGAATACGCTTGTCCCCCTCACAGAAAGACAGGCAGCCAAATCTGGGATGGGGAGGTTCTTTCCACACAATACAGAGCCTCTGATTGTGGGCAGTGAGGATAAGCCAGGAGGATGAAAGGCAAGTCGTTTGTACAGCGGCATCTAAAATTAGGGGGCCCATCTTTGGACCCATAGGTTCAACTATGTCAACATCACTGGCCAATTTGTCACTATGTAGTGATTTCAAGCACTGTCCCTATTTAAAGAGAAACTTCATGATGGCACAGTGGTCCCTGTGCGATGGTTAGATTATCTGGGGATTATTGGGCAGCTCCCACTCTCTGATTTGAAATTTCAACTGGTACACCACCTTTCATAGTAAGACTAATGATGGGGTATGTGACTGGTAGGGAAGAGAGAGAGAGGGAGAAAGGAAGGAAGATCACAGTATGAGGCAGAGGGCAAAGGATAGAGTATAGCACTTACTGGCTAGTGTCACGGTGGCTGGCACGCTTGCCACTGCCCCTGCAGGCATCCGGGCCACACATTGGTACCGACCCACGGTGTGGTTGTTGAGGGCTGGAATGACGAGAGTCCCTCGGGTGATGAGGATGTCCAGAACATCATCTGAGCCATCCAGCTCCTTCCCGTTCAGACGCCAGGTGATGTTCATCCACGGGGGCTCCACCACACAGCCCAGGATCACAGTTCCTCCTAGCTTCTGGACGGTGGACGTAGGCAGGACGGTGACCTGTGGGACCACACCTGGAGGAAGAACAGATGCATCAGTGAAAACACCACCACCCAGGCAGCTTTCCCCAGTCAAGTCCCGCAGGTCAGCTGGTCATAGAGCAATTCTGAGTAACTGCTAATTTGGGGTCGTTTCTCAACCTGTAGTAGATCTGAGTAAGTAAGCAGTGTTAGAATACAGGAGTTAGGAGCTGTGGAGTTGGGGAGATTTGGGTCTGAATCCACTTCTGAACAGTGTGACTTCAGCCTCTTGAGACTCCATTTCTTATGTGTAAAATGGAGATAATAATTCTTGTCTTACAGGGTTGTATGAGGCTTAGACTCAATGCATGTGAATTGCCTGTCATAATCTCATGTTGTATGCTGCAATGAAGGGCAGATGTTATCATTATTATAATTTTTACTCCTCCCCCTCTGGCATATCTCCAAATTGGATAAAATACCATTTTATTGTGATCATTTCTCATCTTGTATTCTTGAGCATGTCCCTGGAGACCAGGGAGAGTGAACTGTTCTTTGAGATTCAGGAAGAGGACAGGCCTCTTAAAGAGTTATTGTAGAAGGCTAATGCTTCCATTTTACATCAGGGCAGAGTGTTCTTCCAAGAGGAGCAGGCTAAGAAAGGGGAGGAAAGTACTCACTCAAGTCTGCAAAGCAGCCTGCTGTGGCTAAAAGGAGGCAGGCGAGAGTGACCTGGGGCCTCTTTCTTCTCTGAATCACGGCCATCCCACGCAGCATGGTGTATAGCAGAGGGTCCGAAGCCAGCGTCCCATAAGCCACCGTGAATCTCTCAAAGAAATACTGCAGGTCCCTGCAACACTGTTGTGTGAGAGAGAGAGGGGTGGCCATGGTGAGAATGCCTGGGGTGTCCCTGCAGTAGTAGCTTGCCTCCCACCCCAGCTTCCATTGTACACGTTGGTGGCATTCGAATTGTAGACTTGGCCCAGCCACTAAAGACCAGAGATATTATACGCTCATGCCGTTCGCATCTAAGAGAAGCTTCTTCAGGAGCTGCCTCCTTGTGTAAGAACATGCCTTTATTCCATAAGGATTCTAGTGCACACAATTATAGAACAGCATTGTCACATGCATAAGACATATGCTATTGTTAAGTGTCGTCGTGTCTGTTCTGATTCACAGCAACCCTGTATAGAGTTTCCAAGGAGTAGCTGGTGGGTTTGAACCACCAACCTTATGGTTAGCAGTCCAGTGTTTACCCTGTAGGGTTACACCAGGACTCCATACAAAATCTTCCTTTTGTTGTTGTTGTTAAGTGCCGTCAAGTCAGTTCTGACTCACTACTAACCTTGAAATTCAAACCAACCTTGTGGTCCAATGCTTTATCCTACAGCACCACACCAGGACTCTGAGATCTCCCCTTTAGGGGATGTTTATTAACGAATGGAAGTCCTGGTATGATACTATAGGATAAGCACTGGGCTGCTAACCACCAGTTAAGTAGTTCAAACCTACCAGAAGCTCCTTGGATATCTTATCCAGGTTTTCTATGAGTCAGAACCGACTAGATGGAACTTAACAACAACAGCGATTACATTAATGAATTAATTACTGACTCATTGAAAAATTTCTGCTTTGCTTCTCTTTACTCCATCTCTCGAACTCTCTTCTACCCCTGGAATTAACCCTACCCATCTTAGCTGTCTATAACCTCAAACACAAACAAATGTCGCACATCAACCAAGATCCCGAACCTTTTCAGGGCATATGCCTTATTGTAGCTTCACTTTTTGACTTACACTTATCTCTACTCTTGATGCTGGAATTGTGGTGTTCTCCATTCTCTATAACTTCTGCGCTCTTGATGATTGTCAAGGTTGCATCTCTAACCCAGAACAAGCTTTCTCTGGGACTATAGATTGTGCTGTGCCTCCAGTAATCCAATGACATATCTCAGCTATCAACCATGCCTTTATTGCCCTCCTAGAACTCTAACTCCTCCTGTCCACAGCATTATTTCTTTAAGACGCTCTCACTTGGCCTTAAAAGTCATGGACTGGGACCGCCTAAAAATTAGACACTCAAGTGCATCAAAATATTTCACCATAAAAGTAAAAAGAGAATCCACATGCTGGGGAAAAGTTTTTTCAGTAATGACATCTCAGACAAAGGACTAATCTCTAAAATTTATAGAAAGTTTCAACACCTCAACAAGAAAAAGACAAATAAATCAAATTAAAAAATGGGCAGAGGACATGAACAGACACTTCACCAAAGAAGACAAGCATATGAAGAAATGCTCAGGATCATTAGCCATCACAGAGATGCAAATCAAAACAACAATGAGATATCATTTCATGTCTCCCCAGTATTAATGTGGGGGGGGGGCGGTGGTTATGTGCCTTGGAGGCAGTTCTGACACATAGTGACCCTGTATAAGGTTTCTGAGGCTATAAATCTTTATAGGAGCAGAAAGTCTCCTCTTTCCCCTGTGGAGCAGCTGGTAGATTCAAAGTGCTGACTTTGAGGTCAGCAGCCCAACTCATAACTCACTATGCTACTAGAGCTCCTTCCAGGATTAATTGTTGTTGTTGTTAAATACTGTTGAGCCAATTCTGATTCATAGCAACCTAGGGTTTCCGAGGAGTGGCTGGTGAGCTTGAACCACTGACCTTGTGGTTCAAGTTGACCTTGCAGTCCAGTGCATTAACCCACAGTGCCACACCACGACTCCTTGCTGTTGTTGTTAGGTTCCATTGAGTCGGTACTGACTCATGGCGATTTTATGCACAGCAGAATGAAACACTGCCTAATCCTGAGCTAACAGCATATTCTAGTGAGGGTGTAGAGAGACTTGGACCCTCCAATAATACTGGTGGGACTGTAAAATGGTACAATCACAGTTTTAAAAAAAAGGCATGGCTCTACCTCAAAGAGTTGGAAATAGAAATATCCTATGGCCCAGCAATCCTTCTACTTGATATATATCAAGAAATAATAGTGGTGACATCCATGCACACCCATGTTCATTGCAGCACTATTCACAAGAGTGGAGACAGTTTTTTGACTCCACCCAAAAAGATAAAAAACAGCCTAAATGCCCATCAGTAGGGAAATGGATAAACTCTGGTCCATACACACAGTGGAATACTACTCAACACTGAATAACAATGAATGTGCAAACCGCTTCATAACATGGATGAACCTGGAGGACATTATGCTGAGTGATATTAGTTGATCACAAATGGGTAGATATTATAAGTGACTACTTTGTAGAAAGGCAGTAAAACATTCTTTGATGGTTACCAGGGTGGAAGGGAAGGAAGAGTAATTCAGTGGTTAGCGGGTAGGCATGTGTAAACTTGGGTGATGGGGGGGAAGGCAATTTGCAGCAAAAGGGAGGTTGGCAGAAGAATGATGAAGGCAAGGGAGGAATGCAAGAGTTAAAGGAAATAGAGGTAAATACTGTTATATACAATCCTGCAATAACAGGGTTACACAAGGAGCTCTAGTAGCATAGTGGTTATGAGTCAGGCTGCTAACCTCAAGGTCAGCAGTTTGAAACTACCAGTCATTCTGTGGGATAAAGATGAGGCTTTCTGCTCCTGTAAAGATTTACAGCCTCGGAAACCCTATACATGATTGTTATGAGTTAGAACTGACTCCTCAGCACACCATCACCAGCACATGGTTACACATACTGAATGGTTGTGTGAAGGAGAATGGGAGTATACCCACAAATCCAAAAAGGTTTGACAGAGGATATTTGCACATGGGTATTTACCTTTGCTACAAACATATGGTGAAGCATACAGGGGGCAAAATGATGAAAATTTTAGACACTGACAAATGCCTTGATGCAATGAATTGTTGGGTGTGGGGACTAAGGACTATAGTGTCAGGGTCAGTTGGCATAACATAGTCCCCAAAGACAATGCTCTATGTCCTGTATTTGTGATTAGAGACTGCGATCTCAACAGCTCATGAGCAGTCATCTAAAGTGTAACTATTGGCCTCTCTGTGCAAATGAACGAAGAGTGATGAAAACTGAAGACACTTGGAAACAATCAGTCCAATGGACTCACGGACCATGTGAACATCTGTCTCTATGATCCTGAGATCAGAAGAAATAGATGGTGCCAAGATACTACTACCAAGTCCTCTAAAAGGGATCACATTATAAGGTCATGGGTAGAGTGGGAGAAAAAGGGGAACAAAATTAAAAAATATTAAAAAGACAGGGTTTAATGGTCAGAAGGAGATGGGAGAAACCCAACACTATGGCCGTTAGTCCCCTTTCAGGTCTGGAACAGAACTCACCCTCATGGCTCCATTTTCAGCCCAGCAGTAGATAGAGGGGACGACAGCACTAGTAAAGTACATAACACCATTGAATGGTCAACCATTCAAGATAGAAAAGGCAGCATTTACCTAAGGTCAAAATTCAGAAGGGTTGGGAAAGATGGTGGAATGGTTATAAGAGTCACAGGAGGAAGCGGGACAAGTGATGTTCCATTGAGGGAATTATAATCACTGAGATGAAATTAAGTATATAATTTGTTGGATGCAAAACTGGTGATCTACTACTCTATAAACCTTCACTCAATTCACAATAGCAAGTTTAAAAAAATTAACAGAAATCACATAGAGGCAGATGTATAAGCTAATGCATACATACTTCTGTGGCAGTCAAAACCAAGATTTATATTAACTCTGCACTGACATGTATAGAACACTAGGCAAATATGAAAGGTGTATTAATATCTTTGGAGTCCTTTGGGTGGTGCAAATGGTTAATGTGCTTAGCTGCAAACTGAAGTTAAAGGCTTGAGTCCAGAGGCATCTGGAAAGAAAGGCTTGGCAATTTGCTTCCCTAAAAGTCATTCATTGAAAACCCCATGGAGCACAAAGCTATTCTGAAACACATGGGATAACCATGAGTTGGAATCAACTCAATGGCTACTATTTCCCTGTCTTAACAACAACAACATCCTTATTAATGGACTCCTGGTGTGGCATTGTAGAATAAGTACTGGACTGCTAACCCCAAGGATGTCGGTTCAAACCATCAGGTGATCCTTGGAAACCTTATGCAGAGTCGCTATGAGTTAGAACCGACTTGATGAACTTAACATCCTTATTTATGGGAAGGAGCCCTTGTAGCATAATAATAGGTTATGAGTTGGACTGTTAACCGTAAGGCCAGAGGTTTGAATCCACCAGCTGTGCCACAGGAGAAGCATGAGACTTTCTGATTCTGTAAAGATTTTCAGCCTCAGAAACCCTTACAGGGTCACTAGGAGTTAGAACCAAGTCGACAGCACACGCAACAGCAACAATTATGGAGTCCTGGTGTGATACTGTAGGATAAGCACTAGAATATTAGCCACAAGATTGGCAGTTCAACTCCACCAGCCACTCCTTGGAAACTCTATAAAGGATTGCTATGGGTCAGAACCAATTTGACTGCACTTAACATCCTTATTAGGGAGGGAGGCATTAGTATAAGCTTCCGGTAATATTTAAGGCAACATGCCAATGATCTGGACAGTGAATGAATCTTCCTGAATCATGCAGTGATACTAATATTTCCAGGAGTGTGATATATATTCAAAATATGAACTCTTCTGAACCAACTTATGTAACCAGCGATTCTGTCAAAGACTTCTAGTTTACCAATGAAAAACCAGGGGACGGAGTGAAGTTTCCCAACTGAGAGATTTCTGCTGCTTGCCAGTCTCTGAAGTCCTCACTGTCTGCACAGAGGAGATGGGCTTGAGCCTTTCAACCTAGAGGTCTGCAGCCTGGGGCCCAGGGATCTTGTTCAGAGTGGAAATGGCTCTCCTATGTCTCCACCTT